GGCAGAGCAGAGAGAGAGAGAGAGAGAGAGAGAAACACATGCTTACAGTAAGATACTTCCATGTGCCTGGAGATGATATGGGAGTAGGAAAGCAAGAGTCCCTGGCATGAGTCCTTGGGGCAGATCCTGAGTGCTCAGGACTAGCTCCGGCTGGCCACCTACCTTGGGCACTTAGCCATCTACCCACTAGATGAGAGTTTTCAGTATAGCAGTCTCATTGTTTTCAGCATTTATAGAGAACCTAGCACTCTCCTCCTGATTCAGCCCCAGGGGACAAACCTGGATCACTCCCAACCTTTTTTGAGTAGCAAACAAGCCCCCATAGTGATCCTTGGTCCTTCTACCTGGGCACCCAAGTGTGGACCCACCTTTAAGATAAATTCCAAAGAACAAGAGGGCTTTTAGGATGATGCAGAACCCCTGCATCAGCATGTGGTTCATACAGGCTCTCAGGCCAAAACTCATTTTAGTCTGGTGGGGCAAGGCCAAGACCTCAGGCTCTCAGGGTAAGTCTGCTTGAAAAGTGCCCTTCTGGTGAGGGAGGCCTAAGTGGAATATGCACAGAATGGTATTCAGGCCATTGTTAAAGATTTGAGTAAGTAAGTTCACAGACTGGAACACTTAGCACTGAACAGATGGCAACACTCCCCAAATTGAGATATAGACTGAACACATTCCTATTAGAATACCAGCTTTTTCCCCTTCTCACAGAAATCAACAAGCACATGGTGCAATTCACATGGAAATGCAAGGGACCAGAACAGCCAAAATGATTTTGGAAAAGAGGAACAAAGTTGCAGGACTTGCACTTCATCATTTCAAAACTCATTAAGCAGCTGTGTGTACAGGACAGTGTGGCACTGGCATGAGGATAGACATGTTCATCAATGGGGGGAGAACTGAGAATCCAGAAATAAACCCTCATATTTATGGTCAATTGATTTTAGACAGGGTGCCAAGACAATTCATTGGAAAAAGAAGGCTTTTCAACAAATGGGACCACTGAATGGCCAGCTACGTGCAAGAGAATGATGTGCTCTGTTCTTATCCTGTACACAAAAATTAACTCAAAATGGATCAAAGGCCTAAATGTAAGAGCTAAAATGAATGCTCTTAGAAGAAAACATAGGAGTAAGTCTCTGTAACCTTGGACCAGCCATTAGTCTCTTAGATATGCCTGAAGCACAAGTAATAAGAGATAATTGAACTTTGCTGATATCAGAAACTTTTATGCTTCAAAAGACACCACCAATTAGCTGAAAAGACAACTCACAGAATGAAAAAATATTTGAAAATCATATATCTGATAAGGAAATGGAATCCAAAATATAAAGGCTCTTACAATTCAATAATAAAAATTAAATCCAATTTAAAAATGTGTAAAAAAATGTAAATAGACATTTCTCTAAGATATACAAATGGCCAAAAAACAAAGATACTCAACAGCAGGAGGTCACCAGGGATATGCATATCAAAACCACAATGATACTTCACATACACTTAGATGGCTATTAAAAAAAAAGGGGGGGGCGGGATAGGCTGGGGATATAGCTCAGTGGTAGAGAGCTTGGCTAGCATAGCCCCAGTTCTACAAAATAATTAATTTGTGCTAAGGAAGTATGGATCAGTTGGAAGTCCCATACATTGCAGGGGTGTGGGAGGTGGGGTGGGTATAATAGCATGGTTAGTGGAAAAGTTTGGTAGTTTCTCAAAATGTTAAAGGCAGAGTTACCATGATCTAGAAATTCTGCTCTTGGATGAAATTTATCCAGGAGAAATGAAAACCTATGTCCACACAAATATTTGGTCATGAATATTTCAGCAGCATTTTTCATGATAGCTAAAAGGTAGAAACAACACCTGTAATCCTAGTCAGGAGGCTAAGGTAGAAGGGTCACAAGTTTGAGGCCTGGCTCAGGACCAGACCCTGACTCAAAATTAAAAATGGCTGGGGATGTAGCTCAATGGTAGAGTACCCCTGGGTTCAATCCCAATACGGGGGGGGGGGGGGGGGGAAACCAAGATAAAAACACTTTACAACTAAGCTAAACCCCCAGCTAGACACACTTTAAATGAGTGAATTGTACGGTACAGTATGTGAATGTCAATAAAAGATCCAAGATATAAAGAGCAGTCTACTAGCCTCAGAGGGAGTGAAGAGCTGGTGTGAGAGATGAATGGAGGAGGGGCTAGATTAAAGGTGGCCTGAACCAGCCTGACATGTTCTGGAATGCTGACAGTGTGTGGGATAGGTAGAGAGGGGAGCGAGTGCTATGCCACAAAACCTTGTACAGGACTGGAGAGCTGGGGTAGAACAGATGGAGGGGAGAGCTGATATGGACCATGGCTCACAAGAGGCAAGACTAGAAGATAGAGGGTAGGGATGGGGTTGGGTTGAGGACTTTTGCACTTGCTGTTCCCCTGCCTGTCAGGCTCCTTTTCTGAGAGGTTGCCCCGGCCTAACAGGGATAAAGCAGACCCTGGTTATTTCAGGCTTTGCCACAACTAGAAATTCTGGATGTTTTCTCAGCTGTACTCTGAGCACCTTGGGACAGGACCAGTACCATGCCTTCAGTCACTCAACAACCAGATTCTGAAAACGGTACAAAAATGAAGACTGAGCCACCAGAATAGGTATTTTCCTCATCCCCGTGCAGCCAGGAAAGACTAGAGTGGGTTTATACATAAAGGGTGTGTGATTAAGACAGTGATATTTCACCTGCACAATGGGAGGCACTGCTGTGTCATGAACTGGAAGAAGCCAGGTAAGTCATATTTGACTTAAAAATAAATGAGATGCTAACTCAGGGAACCCAAGGGCACCCCAGGGCTGGGTTCTTTCTGTGTCCTGGTCTGAGTGCAGGTCATATAGGTGAACACATATAAATACATGTGCTGCACACCCAAGGCGGGTGCACCAGCCTGGATGTTAAGTTATACCTCAAGAAGAAACGAGAGGGTGCTGGGGATATGGCCAGGTGGTAGAGTGTTTGCCTAGCATGTGTGAGGCATTGGGTTCAATTCTCAGCACCACATAAAAAATGAATAAGTAGCCCAAGGCTCTGGATTCCATACATAGAAAAAAGAAAAAAGAAAAAAAGAAACAACAAAAGAAAAAAGAAAAATGATTCAGATTATTATATTCTCCAAATCTAGCCTATAACTTGTTTTTCCAAGGCCCAGGAGCTAAAAACACAGTTACATTTGTAAATGATTGTTTTGCAAGCTGAGATCCTCTGGTCCTGAAATGCCTAAAATGTTACTTGTTTCAGTGATGCTGGGGATAAAACTCAAGGCCTGTGGTATGCTAGGCAAGTGCTCCGCTCTTGAGCTATATACCTTGAGACTGACTTTTCTACTGTATGAATCTTTTTTTTTTTTTTTAAATCATGCACATGAATTGAAAGTTCTACTGAGCTACACCCTGCCGCCTTTTTCATCTGTATTTTGCTAAATTGCTAAGACACTTGCTACCCTCCTGCTTCAGCCACCCGAGTCTGAGATTCGATGGGATTATAGGTGTGCGCCCACCACATGCACAGGTTTTAAAGGTGAAGTTCAATGAGTTACAGTAAATGCCCTCACCCCTTAATTATGTTTAAATTTTTATATTTCTTTTAAATCGGAGCCTTTTACGGTCTGTTATATTTTTCTCCGTTGAACTCCATAACAAAATTTAAAATGTTACTTATAACAGTTGAAAATTTAAGAAGTCGAATTCCCGGGGCATTTTGTAGTTGGGGTTTACCAGCGAGTTTGAAACACCGCCTAGAACATCTTATAAATTCCCCCTGGTTTCGGGTTTTATTCTCCAGCCTTGCTCTTGTTGACCCTGGGGAAATCGTAGCCTCCATGGGACCAGTTTCCCCGCCTGTGAAACCCAAGGGTGGCTGAGGGGACTGGAGACAGGCTATACCAATCTGTTTAACCCACTGTAAAATGGGTATAACTAAGGGGACTGACTTCCTGGGCTGTTAGAAGGAAGCCAGGCCCGCTATTATAGTAATAACAATAACTACTTCAGTAGTAATAATAATAACTACTCAGCAGTTATCATTATTACTACTGAAGCCACTGAGAGCCCGCGGCCTCCCGTAACCCCGTCATCCCTTCGGATAAACTGAGGCCTGCTCACGTCCCCGAATCCCGCCTCTACACCCAGAGGGCTCAGACCCTGAGAACCTTGGCGTGGAGCTACACTGACCCGATAGTCCGCGGCGCGGTAGGTTTCGCTTGTAGTCGATAGGGCCGTAGCCCCCTGGCGGGGGCATGTCCTGCTTCACCTTCGACGCCGCCATGCCAGCAGAATCCCCAGGCTTCCGGCCTGAGGCGGAAGTGACGCGCCCGCCCGCCGCCACGCTGAGAGTGGCGGAAGCGCCAGCGAAAGTCTGCGGCGCTAGGGAACCAAAGATGTTGGGCTGGTTTTAACACCGCTCTGGAGAGTTCAGGCAGCAGGGCCCGAGTCTGAGTGTGTGGCCGGGCTGCGGTCCAACAGTCCTGATTTTCTCTTTCTCAGGCGCGAGTCAGCCCTTGTTCGCACCTGGAGGTCGCCAGGGCGCCCTGAACTTTGCACTAAAATCCCTCACGCTCACCTTTCCCCCTGGGCGATGCACAAAGGGGTCAGAAACCCCGAACTCCCCAGGGAACCAGGTCCCCGAGTTAAGTCCTCCTTTCCAGGTCCCATCTCATTGGGGCTGCCCTGAGAGAACATGGTCACAAGTTGGGTAAACGAAGATGGGGGGACTCACGAGGAAACGCTCTAATCCCAGGAACAAATTCCGCTTCCCAGTGGTGGTCGGTACCCCTTGCTAATGGCCTCTGACCAGGAACTGACCATTCTGGACGATTGAGTCACAAAGCAGAGGGGCTTAGGGAGCTCGCGGGGCGGGGTCCGGGCGGCCCCCACCCCGAGGTAGAGTGACGCCCGCAGTCACTTCACAAGGCAGAAATTGTTACCTGGGAAATAAAAGGCACCGTGGCGGCGGGAGCTCGGGAGTGGGCACATGGGGGTGCGGGTGTGCAGGTGCCAAGCGCCATGGGTTAGGCCCGAGATCGGAGTCCGGCCGCCCCCCGACAGCAGCCGCCTCCTGCTCCCCGCGCGCCCCGGGCGCCACCATGTCGGGTGACAAACTCCTGAGCGAACTTGGCTATAAGCTGGGTCGCACAATAGGCGAGGGCAGCTACTCTAAGGTTAAGGTGGCCACTTCCAAGAAGTACAAGGGTACGGTGGCCATCAAGGTGGTGGACCGGCGGCGAGCGCCCCCGGACTTCGTCAACAAGTTCCTGCCTCGAGAGCTGTCCATCCTGCGGGGCGTACGGCACCCGCATATCGTACACGTCTTCGAATTCATCGAGGTGTGCAACGGGAAGCTGTACATCGTGATGGAGGCGGCCGCCACCGACCTGCTGCAGGCGGTGCAGCGCAACGGGCGAATTCCTGGATCACAGGCGCGCGAGCTCTTCGCGCAGATCGCGGGCGCTGTACGTTACTTGCACGACCACCATCTGGTGCATCGCGACCTCAAGTGCGAAAATGTGCTGCTGAGCCCTGACGAGCGCCGCGTCAAGCTCACCGATTTCGGCTTCGGTCGTCAGGCTCATGGCTATCCAGACCTTAGCACCACCTACTGCGGCTCGGCAGCCTATGCGTCACCTGAGGTACTCCTGGGCATTCCCTACGACCCCAAGAAATATGACGTGTGGAGCTTGGGCGTCGTGCTCTACGTCATGGTCACCGGGTGCATGCCCTTCGACGACTCAGACATCGCGGGCCTGCCCCGGCGCCAGAAGCGCGGCGTGCTCTATCCCGAGGGCCTCGAGCTCTCCGAGCGCTGCAAGTCCCTGATTGCCGAGTTGCTACAATTCAGCCCATCAGCCAGGCCCTCAGCGGGCCAGGTAGCGCGCAACAGCTGGCTGCGCGCTGGGGACTCCGGCTAGGAGCCGGGGTTCCCGGGGTTCCCGGTGAACCCTGCACTGAGCCAGCGCGATGCACGCGCGAGAGGCACGCTTCCGGAAACCCGCGAAGCCGCCGCTTGCGATTGCACACGTGCTCTACCCTTTTCCTTCCCCTGCGCGGCGTGGGCCGCAATTGCCCGGGTTTGGAATCTAGTTCCTCCTCCACAATCCCGAGAGCTGGAGGGCGCATATGCATCCTCAAGTCCCGGCGAAAAGGTCCCGGGAGGGGCCAGACGAGAGGAGACGGAAGCTTTGCGCCTGCGCGGAATGAGCGTTGGTTACGCGGCAGATGGTGGCTTAGTGGAGGAGCTGCCGGCGAGCCGACATGCGTGGAGGGCGTCCCTCCCCAGCCAGCCGCGGATGCCAGATTTTCGGTTAGAACCTGCAATAAACTCGCTCTTCCTCGCAAAGTGGCTTTAACAGTGGCCCCTTTTACGGAGCAGGGGGGAGGGAGCCGCCCAGGAGAGAAGGCTGACGCGGTCTGCCCATTATAGAGGAAGGCATACTGAGGTTCTGTCTTCCAGTCTCAGAAGAGAGTTGGGAGGCCAGGCGTGGTGGTGTTCCGAGCAACTAGGGAGACTGAGGCAGGAGGATGGCAAGTTCGAGGCCAGCCTCAGCAATTTAGCGAGGCCCTAAGCAATTTACCGAGAGCCAGTCTCAGAAATAAATAAATGAAGTAAATAAATAAATAGGTCTGGAGATGTGACTCAGTGGTTAAGCACCCCTGGGTTCAATCCCTGGTACCAAATAAATAAATAGTTGGGAGGATTCAAACCCCAGTCAATATATGGGATTCTCCAAATGGGGCAAATTCAGAGGGTCTCTTGTTATCTCAGGATTTCTGACAATGCTGTGTATGGGATGCTGGGTATAAACTGGCATTAACCGATAAGGAAACAGGCCCACCCAGATGTTATTTGCTCACAGACAGGCTGTGATTGGAAGCTAGATCTTTTTGTAGTGGGGAAGCCCTCTTTGGTGAAGGTACCTTGCCTCTAGGAAGAGTTTGGGGATAGAATTAGAGTGAATCCTGCTCAGTCCTCATGCATTTCTTAGGCATCTGCTGTGTACCAAGGTCCTGGAACTCAGTGTAGAGGCTTCAACCCATCCCTGCCCTCATGAGAAAGCAAGGGAAAATTAAGTAAAATAAAAGAATTGCTTGGAAATAATTGTAAGCCAGACATGGTGGAGCATGCCTGTAATCCCAGCAATTTGGGAGACTGAGGCAGGAGGATTGCGAAGTTCAAAGCTTGCCTCAGGAACTTAGCAAGACCCTGCCTCAAAATAAAAAATTAAAAGGGTTAGGGATGTGGCTCAGTGGTTAAGCACACCTGGGTTCAATCCCTGGTACCAAATAATAATTATAAATTGTGTTTAACGTCAGGAGGAGGAAGGAGGCATCCACAATTAAAGCCATAACTTTTTTCAGGGGTGGGGCAGGGCGATGGGCAAGTAACCAGGGATTGAACACAAAGGCACTGAGCCACATTCCCAGCCCTTTTTTTGTATTTTATTTAGAGACAGGATCTTGCTGAGTTGCTGCTTAGGGCTTCTGTAAGTGGCTGAGGCTGGCTTTTGAACTGGAGATTCTCCTGCCTCAGCCTCCAGAGTGGCTGGGTTTACTGGTATGTGCCATCACATTTGAGTCTTGAAGGAGTCATTGGAAAAGGGCAGAGGTTTGAGTAAGCCAGGAAGTTCCTGTGGCTAGAAGAGCAAGGGAGTGGGGAGAGGAGGTGGAGAGCTACAAGTCCAGGGGGGACCCCACAGGGCCTGGGGGATGTTACTAGGTTCGGTGACATTTTGCTGACATTTGTGGTGTATGAGAAATATGTCCCTCAACCCTAACCTGCTCGATTTCATCTGAACCTCAATGGTCCTAGAGGGAGTTTCTCAGCTGTGGGTGTTGCCATGCCAGCCACTACTCACTCACCTTCCATGCTTTCTGTTATCTTGGAGTTTGAGCACTAGCTCTCCCCTTACCCCCTTCAAATGGACTGTGGCCCCTCCCCCTCATTTTGCCCATGAGGCAACTGAGGCTAGAAGAGTGTGCTTGACCTTCAAGTTCTGACTGGGTTGTCACAGCTGAGGTAGAAAACTCAGGCCTTCTGCTTTACACTGGAGGACGGAGCCTCCAGTGTTCCCAGGGCCTCCACTGCACTTAGAGTGCATCCACATCCTCCTCACCTGTGTCCTTCAAGTGCAACCACTGTCCTCTTTGTTCTTGACCTGTGCCTCATCCCACCACCAAACCATTGCCCAGGCTCTTCTCACTCCTGGCGTCACTTTCCCTCCCTTCATTTGAGTTAACTTGATGTTACCTCCTCTGGGACACCCAGTTCTTTCCTGATGAATCTGTAGGAACCTTTGGGGCCCTGCTCCATGGCCACACAGGCCCAGGGCTATTGTCCCATTTCTCAGCTTGAGAAACTTGCTGAGACCACCGTCAAGGACTGGATCTGCCCCTGGTCCAATGAGGTGCCTATATGTGATCCAGAGAAGCACAGGGATCTTGAGGGTGGAGATAGGGCCCCAAAGTGCCCCATAAGTATGTTTCTTGAGGTCAGTGTTGGGTTATGGGGCACTAGTTGGGATCTTACAGGTGGAGAACAGGCTTGGGTTTAATATCTAATCTGCCCTCTACCAGCTCTTGTGCGTTGCTGAAGTGACTCAGCACACTATTGGGAGGCTATTGGAGATAGTCAGCTCCCAGGGTAGAGGGAAGGATGCCACCCAAACAGCAAAACAAGGTCATATTTTATGCATTGGAATGCAAAGTGATCCCAAGTTTCACTTTAAAAATAAAAATGTGCCAGCCACTGTGCCTGTGATCCCAGTGACTCAGGGGGCTGAGACCAGTCTCAGCAATTTAGCAGGACCCTGTTTCACAATGAAGTAAAAGGGGCAGGGATGTAGTTTAGTGGAAGTAGAGTGCTTGCCTGGCATTGAGGCCTTGGTGTTCAACCTTTATTACTGAAAAAAGTTTTTTAAAATGAAAACAAACGTGAGGGGCTGTAGTGTAGCTCTGTTATGCTTAGATGCACATGATCCTGGGTTTAGTCCCTGGCACCAAAAATAAAATGTGAAACTTTTAGCATCTGAAAACAAATTTTCATCAGATATCATTCACTTTTGGAGACACAGCCCACAGCTCAAACTGTGCTTAGAATGTGCATCTGTAATATCAAGTTCTGCAGCAAAGACCACTTCTCAAGGTACCAAGCCTGAAAATTGCTCCAGAAAAAAAATCCTGCACTGACTGGAGTTTGGAGGCTGATGGGCAAAACCCACTGGGATCTTGAGCCCATTCCTCTGGTCTTGTGGGGTTAAGTTAGGTCCAGAACCCCAGGTCTTGGTGCAGATATTGCCTAGGACCAAGGGTAGGTAGGTAGGGAGGGACACCACCCAGGTAAGATGCCCTAGTTGCATTCTTCCCCCATTAACAAAGCTGCCCTGAAGCTGGGACAAAACACAGGGAAATCAAGGTAGAGGGGACAAAAGAAAAGTACAGTTGACACATTATCCATTTCTTTATTGTCCTTCAGAGTCTAAAAGTTCCTCATGATACAAAGTATGACCACCAATTCCAGTCTCTTTGTTTTGGAACTTCTATTGGTTTGGTGGCAAACATTTTTTTTTTACATGTTTTATTATCAAAGATTTATAGTCACAATAAATACAAGTGACAACCTCCCCACCGCCCCAAGATTCCCTCATACCCTGCACTAGTGTAACCATCTATTACACTTTCTTTGTTAAGGATTATAAAAAAATGTTTGCTGTCCTTTTGATAAAAGCTGTTGAAATTCTTTAGGCTAACGTCATGTGCAGCATATAACTCAGCATCAAAGAAAAACCCTACGGCAGAGTGGCATGGACCATCCTTTTCATTTCTAATATCCCTGTTATAAGAATATTTATATAGAAAAATTTGTGTTTCTCCAGCCAATAGGAGAGTGCATGTGGAAACAAGACACAAGGAAGCAGCTGATTACCTCATTCCCTCTGCCTAGGGTGAGCTTCACAGAGGTCCTAGAGAGGTAGTTAGGAACCAAAGCTGCTCAGTGCTACTGTCCCACCCTCAGGGGACACCCATGCTCACCAGAGGTGTAGTTCTTCTTGGACTGGAGTCCCTATGATACAGTCAAGATGGCTAGAGCCGTGGGTGGCTCCAGATGGGAATGTGTGAACATAAACTGTCATTTCAAACTTGCCCCAACTTCAAAACACGTGATGTCCCCACCCTCGTTGACCAGCAAGGGCTCTCAGGGAAGACCAGGACTTGCCAGCACTTCAGGGAATGGTGGCTGGTTTTGAGGTGCGCTTTGTAAATACCCTTAATGCTAATAAATATCCTTTCCTGGTATGGCTCAACCCACACCCAGAGAGGTATTCAGTCATGCCTTTAGGTGTTAACAAATTTCAGCACAGAATCACCCACTTGGGGCTTTATCACACAAGTTATATCACAAAGAGGGAACTCAAGAAAAAAAAAAGTGAACTTTCAAGACAGTCAAAATGAAAGATTAAGGCATCTCACACTGTCCCCTTTAAAAAAAAAAGTTATGTTCATGTCACAGTATGTCATCCCTGGGAATGCTCCTGGGTCATGGGATGGAGGGAAGGGTGCTGGAGGAGCCAGGGTCCCTACCACCCTGTCCTCTGCCTATGGCACCCTGGAGTCATGGTCTGAACTACAGACTGTCCTAGTTAATAGCCCTAAGTCCCAGAGGAAAAGTCCAGCAAGGCTTGGATAGCTCAGGATGTGGTACAGGTGGGTGGGACTGGGCCCTCTCTTCAGACCTGGTCAACCCAAGCTGGGTGCTTAAACCCAGCACAGGGAGGACTCGGCTTGGTTGCTTGATCCTGAGTTTACTGCATAGAACTGAGGTTTGTTCAACAGGAAGAGGCCTCCCAGGCACTCCTACTTGGGGAGTTGGAAGATTTGGCCCATGTCACTGAAAAGAGAGGGCTAACAGCTCAGGGTAGTATAAGACAGGTATTTATTTGCCAGGCACACAGAAAAATGCGAGGAATAGAAATGCTTGCATACTTTTTTTTTTGGTGTAAAAACACACCCTCCCCCACTCAAAAAAAAAAAAAAAAGTCAATTTCCCTCCTTTCCCCTGAATCCCTGGATACTGGAATGAAAGCCACCCTTCCCTCCCCCTTCTCCTACTGTAGCCCAGCGAAGTTATGTACTCAGAACAAACAAAAAAGTTGGTGAGAAATTCAGAGTTTAGCACAAAAAATTGGAACAATTTCCAAAAACTAAGTTCCTCTACTATGTGTCAAAAAATGTTTTCTAAAGACTGATGATATTCACACGTGAGCATGGGGGTTAAATGAGCCTTTATTAGAATGTTGTAGCAGTTGTGTTTGGAGAAGGCGGTCCTACAGATAAGGATTTTAAATTAAAGTCCCTAAATGCATCAGTAGGAAAATGGGCTGGAGAGGAACTGGGGAATGGCGGTGCCCAGTCTTCTTGTAGGCACACAGATGTGCATGTACAGGGGATACCCTCACATGGGCCCAGGGTTGGCCCAGTGTGTGGTAGACGCAGAACGGCTTCCACCTTTTCTCACAGAACCAATTTTTAAGGAGTGAGAAGGGCAAGAAATAAAAAGAAAATGAAACTATATGCAGACCTGATCCTTTAAAAAAAAAAACATTTCTGTAGATTCTAAAGGGGAATAGAGAGAGAAAAGAAGTCTGAAAGCAGACCCTGACAGCAACCGCCAGCTTTAAGGAAAGGTTCTAATTAATCCCAAGTGGAAATCCTTAAGTCTGGGGGAAAGCAGCTCGCCACACACCTGGACGGCGCCTCCTAGCCTGGACACACCTGTGCGTGCTCACTGACAGGTGCACATGCCAGGGTGGCTTGAGATTGTGTCCATCAAAAAGATAAGAAAAGAAAAGGAAAAAATTTAATAAAATAAACCACAACAATAACAACAACAACAAAAAACCCCCACAGCAGCCCTCCCCCGCAACTTCCTGCTCAGGCTCCTGGGTGTGGCTGCCAGTTGATTCTCTCCTCCCTGATTTGAGGGCAGCGCACCGCTTCGGGAATCCCTGGGTCTCTGGCTGGGTCTGGCTGCAGTTTGTTCTTCTGCTACGTGTGGGAAGTCTGGGGGTCTCCGAACAAGCAGCAATGGAGGCTTTCAGCTGAAGCAAGAGCCATGTTGGCTGTCCCTGTGTCCATCAGTCATCTGGGTTGGGCCAGCCATCTCTGCTGGGGGCTGCGGCACCATCAGTGAACCACCTTCCAGCATATGGGCCTGGTGGGACTACACTGCACGACAGAGACCCCTGGACCTGCACGGTTTACTTTAAACTCCATCATCATGAGGTGATTAGGGGAAAAAAAAAAAAAAAAAACAACAACTTCAACCTATAGGTTGCCATGGGGGGAGGCAGTTGAAGACTGGGAGCCTAAGATGGGGAAAAGCAAAAAAGAATGAAATGCCTCGCTCGACTTCAGAAGCCCTGGGTGCCAGCCTCGCCTGAGTGTGTCACAGTGTCCAAGATGAACCGCCTGTGTGTGCCTGCCGGGGGCGGAGGGAGGGGGCCAGGAGCACAGCCAGCCCCCCGAGGTCCACTTTTCTGCTGGTGTCGGGCAAACTAAAGGCAAAGAGAGAAAGGAAGAAAGCCCACGGAAAGGTCCCTCAGTTATGATCCTTGYCCACCATGAAGCAGCACCCCTCTCCCCAGCTGCGATGAGGCTCTGCAACCAAGGACTGAGRTCTTGCTTCAGTAGCAGCATGGCCATCACTCGCTCGCAGAGGGCAGTGTGGTGTGTCCTTTCAGACCAAGGGCCAGGTGGGAGGGAGGAGGGAGCCTGTCCTCCACTGGGCCTGGCTCACACTATTTCCACGTGGCCGACTGGGGGATGGAGCGTGGTGGGATCATGTCGAGGAGGTATTCTCGCTGGCGGTCCACAGCAGAGGACGTCTTATGAACTGCCAAGCTTGGACTGACAAATGTCAGGGTCCCGCCTGCAAAAGAACACAATGACAGGTCGAGATGGCCCCCAGTCAGCAGAGGCTCCTGGGAGAATTCTACCCACAGTGGAGGAGAGCACAGGCTGTAGCCTAGACCTTGCCCATCACACAAACAAGATCACAAACCTACCAGCCCTACAGCAATGTCATCATCCCAAATCCCAGGCCTTGCGCTAAAGAGAATGCAAGAAAACAATTAGATCACCCTGAAAATATTCCCTGGCTCTGCAGAGTTAGATGATGATTAGTCAGTTATCAGGTGCTACGTGGACCAAGGTGCTTACCACAGTGCTGGGTAGAACAGTGAAACTTGCCATCAAGGGACTCGATCTCCAATGCAATGCATGAAGTCTGATGAAATACTATTTGGCCATTAAAAACAACCTGACCCTCAATTGTTTTGGGGATAAGGTCTTAGTATGTTTACCTAGGCTGGCCTCAAACTTCCTGGGCTCAAGTGATTGTCCCACCTTAGCCCCCAAGAACTGGAATTACTGCATGCTCCACTGCTGGGTTAAGAATCTTCTTCTCCCCAGTTTTGGGAAATGAACCCAGGGGCACTCTACCATTGAACCACACCTCTATCCCTTTTTGAGAAAGGGTCTTACTAAGTTGCTCAGACTGTCTTGGAACTTGCCATCCTCCTGCCTCGGCCTCCTAAATAACTGAGATTATAGGCATGCATAACTGACATGGCTTCAACTAAGATTTGTTTTTTGGTACCAAGGATTGAACCCATGGGTGCTTAACCACTGAGACACATCCCCAGCCCTTTTAATTTTGAGAAAGGTCTCAATACATTGCTGAGTCTGGCTTTGAATTTGATTCTCTTGCCTCAGCCTCCCGAGTCATTGGAATTACAGGTGTGTGCCACTACACAAATTTTTTTTTTTAATATTTATTTATTTATTTTTAGCTCTCGGCGGACACAACATCTTTGTTKGTATGTGGTGCTGAGGATCGAACCCGGGCCGCACGCATGCCAGGCGAGCGTGCTACCGCTTGAGCCACATCCCCAGCCCCGTACACAAATTTTTAATGAGACAGTAAACTCATTTACACATTAGAGGGGTTCTGGCTGGCAAACACAAGAGAACACTACGCACGTGACCAAAGAGGGCAGAAGAGAGATGGAAAATCCCCTATGGTATTTATTCTCCTGGTGTAGAAATTATTGCCACTGCCATGGCCTTGTCTTACTATATTTTCCTATTTCTACAAATAACACTCTTATAACTGGAAAATAAAGTAATGATTCCCATCCAGCACATGCCATTTTCTGGACTCACCGTTCAGAACTCTGAGCAACACTCTGCTACCTATCCTTAGAATATTTTTAGTGGAGGCTAATACATTTTATGGAACAAGGGCAAAGGACACCCCTCCCCCCACACACACCGCATGCAGAGTTAAGGCCTGCATTCCAGAAACCTGGCACCTGGGTCCTGCTAAGAGCTTCCCTCAAACCACAGACCAGAAACCTGAGGCATTTGGGAATACCAGCAAAGCTGTTGGGAAACCATTATGCTTGATCTCTAATCCTACCAACCAATGCAGGGACTACTTGTGCCTTCAAATTTCCTTTCAAATTTTACCCTTGAACACACATACCAATTTCTTTTCCTTTCTCTGTGGTGGGTGTCAGGGATGAACCCAGTGCCTGCGCATGTTAGGCAAGTACTCTACCCTCTCAGAGTTTCCTGTTGGATTTCTGTCACTATGTCCACATACACTCATTTTTTACTTTTCGTATTTTTTGTTTTTAGACAGGGTCTTGTTATGTTGCTGAAGCTGGTCTCAAACTCCTAGGCTCAAATAATTCTCCTGTCTCAGCCTCCAAATGGCTGGGACAATAGGCTGGTGCCACTGTCCAACTTTCCTTCTTACTTTATCGCTTTCAAATTTTCCACAAAAGTAATTTCTGACTAGCCCCACAGTTCTTATCTGTTTGTTAAACATGCCAGGCAAAAACATGTCTGGATGGTCTATATTTACAAATGTGTTGTGATCTCCAGGCCACTCATGTTCCCGTGACCAAATAAATAGCCTCCCTTTCCTGAACTATCTCTACTGGTGCTCTGGCAGGGGCACATCCATAACCCCCGGGTTGCTACTTGAACAGGAGGTTCTCAACTTCTGTTGCAGAAACAGCCTGATTTCTCAAGTTCTGACATCTTGTAATGATGCCTCTTCTTCCTAAGGAGACTCAGGCTGCAGGGAACAACTGAGGACGCTTGGCAACTACATTGAGAGCACTTGCCCATCCCCTTCACTTGCCTTCCTGCCTACTTTTCATTTTCCTGTGCTTGGCAGACACACAAAATATTGAATCCTTATGTTAGCACATAAGTGAGAATATGTTACAAATAGGGAAGTAGGCTAGGAAATGACACCAGGGACAGTAGAGCCACAGTCAACTGAGTGCCTGTGTCAGGGTCTTCCTCTCCCCCAGCTATTCCTCCAGAAGGCTTCTGCTGCCACCTCATTTCACCCCAGCCCTCCCTCCTCCCTGCACTCCTGTTCTTTTGTACTTTGTACCACTTTATGTGTCCAAAACAGGATGGGAGGAAAGGGTCCCCCAGAGCAGTGGACAAAGGGCATGCTCTGGGTGAGTGAGAAACACAGTGAGTATATGATGAACAATGCAGTGGCAGCACAAACAGATGTTAACTGTGGCAGGAAAAAGGTAGGTAGCCATGAGTGGGTAAGATGGGTCTGCGCTGAGGAGTCTGCACAGAGGCTTGGGGTGGGGGTGGATGGGTGGGCAAGCACCTGCAAATAAGGTCTGCTCACATTTGAGTGTGGTTACAGCGAGTACAAACTGCTAGAGTGATCAGAATCTACTGGGGGCTGTCACTTATTCAGGACACACTACTCAGGGACTGGAAGAGATAAAGCCAAATTCAGAGGTGGCTCTTCTTAGGAAGCAGGTCTGCAGCATGGGGCCTTTTGTGCCACTTCTGATCATCGGGTGTGTGAGCATCCTTGTTAAGAATGAGGAAGGCTGGGCGCAGGGACACATGCCTGTAATCCCAGCAGCTCGAAAGGCTGAGGCAGTAGCACATTCGAAGCCAGCCTCAGAAATTTTGCAAGAATCTAAGTAACTTAGTGATAACCTATCTTAAAATTTAAAAAAGGGCTGGGGATGTGGCTCAGTGGTTAAGCACCACTGGGCTCAATCCCTAGCACCAAAAATAAATAAATAATGATGACGACGATGATGGTGATGATGGAGAGGCTAAGGTATGAGAATCATTTGAGCTTATGATTTTCAGACCAAGGAAATGGCAAGATTCTTTGTCAAAAAGAGAAAATAAGGAAGGGTAGACCCGACAGCAGCAAGGTCTGAGCATGGAGCTGCAGAGGCCACCCACCTGTGCTCAGGGGCGTTTTTTTCCAGTTGGAGGTGGCACTGCCCTTGGCAGCACCTGCAGCTCTCTCGGAATGTCTGCCAGTCCTGCTGACCAGGGCTGTGGCCGAGGCTGTGTTCTGCAGTTTGGGAGACTGGCTGAATGTGTGCAGTACACCACGGGGCGTTGTGGCTGAGCCTCGGGACAGCTGGCTAGAGGCCTGCAAAGGAGAGAGGGGACAATGGATCATGAGGGGAAGGGGCAGCCACAGGCAAGATGCTCAACGCAGCCTCTCCTTGTTCTGGCTGACCTCTGCCCACCCACACAGGGTCCCTAAAGTCCAAAATCAGGAGACCAGGTAAGTTACACCAGGGGGGAAGGAAAAACAAGGAGAGAGAGAAAAACAGACAGACGCAGGCAGCCTGACAGTCGGTGACTGACGTGGTCGCATCTGCGGTTGGGGGCATGAGGCTCCCGGTGCAGCGGTTCTGACCTGTAGCACAGCCCCGTTACTCCAGTCTCGGGCCTCTCCTGAGCGGAACGCCAACTTACGCCGGGGTTTTATGACCTACACAAATAGGGGTTGAAACTGAGATCAGCAAGGTCTGCTCCACTAGCTGGCCCAGGGTGACCTAGGGTGACTGAAGGTGTGCCCCACAGGACAGGCCCATCCCCTGATGGCAGCACGATTGCCTGGCAGCTTTAGATGCCATATGAGGTTCTTCAGAAAACCTGTTTAGTGATTTACAGATGACTTCCGAGGAAACCAAAATTGCCAAAAGGCAGCTTCAGGTCTACAGAGGATGGGAAGGAGAAGCATTAAAACAATAAAAACAATAAAAACAAAAAACTTAATTTCAAACTTGCTTCTCTCCTTAATTTAGCAAGAATATTTCTGCTAAACGCCCCTTTGGTATCTCAATGTGGCTTTCAGAATAGTCTTTTCAGACAAGAAGTACTTGTCAGCCAGCACACTGCAAGTCAAAGATACAAAATCTAAAGAAACTGCAAATTAGTGTTTTCGCCGCCAAACATCACCATTAAGTGCAATTTAGACGCGCAGTTAACAATCAGGCGGATGAGCGCTGAGTGGGACAGAACATCAGAACATCCTGCCTTCTAAGGACAGCTCGCTGCTAAGGGAGCAGTCCCCTCCTGGGGCAGCCGGTTCTCACCTGCTTCAGGGCCAAGTGGGGGGCAGCACTGGGCTCAGCCTTGGTGGTGGTTGTGGGGGCCGTGCCCTGCTGCAGGAGGCGCTGTTCAATCTCTTGCTCCTGTTGCAGTGCCTTCACAAAGGCAGCCTTCAGGCGGCTAGTATGCTCCACCTTGAGTGCCTTCTTCTGGTTGGATGTCATGCAGTTCTCGCACATGATGGCCCCGCCCTTCTCCTCCCGCCAACGGCATGTGAAGTCCGTCTTGCACTGTGCACACATGTAGGGCTCCCGGGATAGCACAGCGGCAGCTGCAGCAGCCGACATCCTGCCTGCTGCAAGGAGACAGGTGGGCAACTCGTATCAAAGGGACAGGGTGCTAGAATTTGGGGGCCCCACCACCTTCTGCCAGGACTGGACATGGGACCCCAAGCAGAACAAGAGCAGCAGACAGGGCCATGCTTCCCAACAGGATAGGACACCCAAGCTTCAGGGAATATATATAGTCTGTTCATTGCACACCAACTTTGTGCAGGCACAAAGTGGCCAAAAGTTGTGGAAAATTGTGGGTTGAATATCCTTGGTATCAACACTTCAAAGACATCAGCAATGCTGGTCTGGTTTCCCTATCCTCCTGTTCAACCCACAATGCAAACAGGAGATCTCAGAAGAGGAGTTGATAACCATGTGAGGTTTCAACTTGCCATGGTGGGCATTCCAACTTAACAGACATGTTAACAGAACGACAGTGCCTTGTGGGTATTAAAGGCTGTGCATTAAAGGGGAGGGGACTTATCCTAGGAAGGAAGCTGAGGCCAAGAAAGGACCCAAGTGATCTCCAGATCACAATGTAGATTAGTGGCAGAGCCAGGACTTGAACCCCAAGATAGGCCTTAGAGCCTGGGCTGCACTGTTTGGCCATGAGAATAAAGTACTCAAAGAGAGCAGAAGGTGGCAAATGTTCTGGGTCCTTGGTCCCTTTCATCTGGAGATAGGAACAATGTCTCTTTGGCTGGCCATAAGGAGAGTCATTGGCATCTGCTCAGGTGCAGGGTAAGTATTCTCATTTGCTTTTTGTTCCTACCTTCATGGTGTTCAGCTCTTGGGGCTTAAATATTACTTGGTCACTATAGGCCACAGCACAAGACCAGGGGACAGCTGGGGACTGATGCTAAGAAACCCGCAGGTTTTCCTTTCCTGCTTGGCCTGGCCTTCCATAGCCCTGAGCACTGAGACATTTTGTGGGGCCCATCTCTGGGGAGGCCCCTGTCCAACAAAGCAGATGGGATGTCACTTGTCCAAGCTGCCTGTGCCCAGAGTCTGCCTCAGGGCCCCTGTTCTAGCCCATGACTGCATTTCACAGGGACTGACAATAACAGCACATCTTGCACACATCCAATCCCAGAGGAGGATGTGACACTTGTTTCCCAGACAGCTGCAGACAGTGTGACCAGTACCAGGTGAGACGCCAGGCAAAGCTGTGCTGAGCTGCCAGACCTGGGGGCTCTGAGAGGTGTCATGGGATGCTTTCAGGAAGAATCCAAGAGTTAGGTCCTATTTTGGGCAATGATAGAGGGAGACTGGCCCCTCATGACAGAAGAGCCACTTGCATAGGCAGTGGCACAGTAGGCAGGTACCACAGTCCTGAGGGGCCTCCGGCCCACCCTGGTACCCCAGCAGCCTTTTTGTTATAGAGCACCTCAGCAGCAGTGTTTTTGCCAACACTTCCTTGTTGCAAAGGGCCCCAAACACAAACCAGATTGTGCCAGAGCCCTCAATTCTCTGACAATACATCCCCTCAGTCTCTCTGGTAACAAACAAGACCATCTTAAAAAGGATGTTGCCTAGCCAAGGGGCCTGGTCCAGTCTCCTACGAAGCAAATTCCCAGATGACTGCACTATTCTGGGGTTGTCAGTGGGCTCAGAGACCCTGGGCACAATTATTCTTCAGGAGCCTGGGGAGTGAGAATGCACCCTCCTCATGCCCCAACAAAGTGGTGGGCATTGGAGGACCACAGTTCTGTTGCCCACACATCCTTTTTTATCTCTGCATCCCAAGTCTGCTGAGGGGGGCCAGTACTGGCCTGAGCTGAGAAACCAGTGGTAAAGCATCTGAGACTTCTGGGCCCTGACCCAGTATGCCTCCTCCTCTTCTCAAAGCATATGATGTGATCACTTGGAGAAAGAACTGAGGCTCACTGCCCTTTGACCTCACCACCAACTCCATCTCAGGACATAAACGTCAGTCTGTCTGAAGAAACAGGTTCCCAGAAGGCCAACTTTGTGACCCACCTCCTTCCAGAAGTCTCCAAGGCCGTTTCTGATAACAACCCTGCAGGCATCCTTTTCACACTGTCCCCAAAAAGGGTAATGAAGCGAGCCTGGTCCAGGCAGTCGTGTCCCTCCTCCTGCTTAGGGACCGAAAGAACTCAAGCCCATGCTTGCCCAAGGGTCCTGCTTAAGCCTGCCAGCCTCCCACAGATGCCTACCCTTCACCCCTGCCCCTTCTGTCCCAGGGCCACTGATGGTAGTTCCCTGGACCAGGGCCTCCCAAGTCCCAGTTCTCAGAGGTCCCAACAGGAGAACAGTGTTCCCTTCCATAGCAGAACTGACAATAAATGGTGTCACATGGTAGAGGCTCCAGTGCCTTCAGCAGCAAGCTGAAACCAGCCATGGCTGCTTACCTTGTGTCTCCAGTAGGTTCTGCACCACCTCCTCCAGGCCAACAAGGTAGATGAACTCATTGTTGGCAGCACTGGGCAGGAAATTCATCTCTGGGGCTGGGGGTTTGGGTGGGGGGATCTCCAGCAGTGTCTTCTCTAGTTGTTTGCGTAGTGCAAGCTTGGCGGCCGCCTGCCGGCTGGCTGGAGACTCACCAGAAGTAACCACAGAAGCCACACTGGTAGGTGTGGAGTTGGTCTGAGAGGAGGCAGCTGTTGTCCCCTTCAGTGATGCTGGGGTGGGCTTTGGGAAGACAACCACCAGGTCAGTGTGCCCAACTAGAGGCAGGCTTCCACAGTCTCCCTGCAGTACCAACATCAGTTGCACTTGACTTAAAGTAAATCTGAGCACTAGGGGTGTGGCTTAGAGGCAGAGCACTTGCCTAGCATGTCCAAGGCTCTTAATTCCACAGCCAGCACCCACATCCCAAATCAAAAAACCTCAGTAAATCTGTCTTAGCGGTTCATGGAAGTCAATGAACCATAGGTAAAGGTGCCTGAAATGAACAGCCCTAGGAGGCAAGTGATAGTCTAAACATGCTCATGGAGGCTTAGTGGACATCCAATACACGGCACACCATTAAAACTGATACTTTGCCTAATAAGGACACCCACAAGACCACCACAACCAAGACAGGTCTCAGAGGAGGTATGATAGGGGCTGCTTATCCCATGAACATATGCTGGTGCTTATCTGGAGTGCTAATGCTCTAGTCAGTTCTGAATCCTTATTGGTGTTATAAGGGAAAGCAGCTCCAGGGCCCAGCCTGACCCTTCACCCTCCCCCTTTTCCCCCATCCTCACTGCTCCTGTACTAGGTTATTGTCCTCATCTGGATCACAGTGGTTGCCCCTTCGTGGTCTCCACCTGCCCCACAACTGCTCACCCCAAAATCCAGAGTTAATTATACCAGTGCCCTTAGCCAGACCCCCTCCTCCAGTCCAGCTGGCAGCAGACTCCAACAATGGGGCCGCCTCTGCCCAACCTTACAGTGCACTGAGGACAGGAGACAGGATAAAAGTTTATGGGTAGGTTAAATGGCTTGCCTAGGTCAGTCTTTTGCTGTGCCCAGGAGACCCCTGAGTAGAAATAGGACTGGTCATCATCTCTGCACTTGAACTCAACCTTAACAAAGGCAGGTCCACTGCCCAAAACTGCCAGCCTTGCTCTTGTCTAAGGAAGGCGGGCAAAAAGGAACCTTGTCAAAGAAGGAAGAAAGGATGAACATGCTTGTCAGCAAAAGCCCCTGCAGACCCAGTAATTTTGTGCGTCAGGCAAGGCTCTTGCTTCTAGCCTGCCCGCCTCCCAGTCCTTCTCTTCCCATCCTGCTACCCAGTGGGTGGGGACAGATCCTTCCCATCTCAGAGGCTCTGTACAGAGGTGAAAGGACGAGTGGCTAAGAATAGAAGCACTGGTGCTTTGAGAACATCTGCAGACGTGCTCTCCTCATACCCGTGCTTGAGGACACAAGTCAGCTCGATTGCGCCTTGGGCAGAGAGCCCTTGAGGGCTCTGGTGCCCCCCCAGACTGTCTCTAGATCCATCTCCCATCTCACTTAACCCTCAAATCCTAGCGTCTCCCATGTGTTACCAGAACATGGATCAGGACAGCAGACCCCACTCATTTTAGCCTGGTTTTCACTGGTCCCATCCTTGCCTTCTCAGCAGCAATCCACCTTTGCTAGATGGCAGATCTGCCCATAAGCTTCATATCCCTATGGCCTGAGAAACTCGGGTTGGAACCCCTGTGGGAATGTTTAACATACCACCCTTCTTAGAGGAAGCACACAGGCCATATTCCATAACCCTGGGAGACATATTGGTACCCTAGGACCAACTGGGAGCCTTTGGGAGAATACACACACCCTTTCCAGCCTTGGAACAGACCCTCACCTGTGGGAGGTTGACAAGTAGACCGGTGTTGGGGACGTTGGCGACACGGATGAGTCCCTGCTGGATRATTCTCTGTCCCTGAATTTGCACACTGGGCACAGAGGCCCGGGGTGCCAGAAGGAGAGGCGGTGGCCCCGTGGTGGAATGTTGTCGGATGTTGTGGATTTGCTGTTGGGTTAGGGAGGACAAAAACTAAGAACAATAGAGGGAGGCACAAGGAATAAGTGGGCACCACAGCCCCAGCCTTAAGACCAGAAAGAGTCTTCCTCTGGAGGTGGTGGTCAGTTGCTGGGGCTGCCAAGCTCCCAAACTTTGTGGCCCTCCTCACCTGAGCCCCCCTGACGAGTGGGGGCATGACGACCTGTGAGCTCCCCTGAGGTCCCAGCTAGAAAACACCTGTTGCCTGCCACAGACCAGGGGTGGCGAGATGACACTGCCAGGCATTCGAGTTGAAGAGGTCTGTCAATGACACCAATGTCCACATTTATGTGGCCTTTTATCTTTTAGAAAACTGATTTATTGTTTTTGTAAAAGAACGCAATTTTTTTTTAATGCAGAACAATGAAAACACGAAAAATGAGCTAAAACACATATTTATGTTAAATGCATACTCCCACAAGAGCCATGGAAACCTGGGCTCACACAGGAATGAGTTAGAACAATGTAGTAACACACTGCCCCACATGTGCCCCCAACAGAGAGCACGTCAGATGAGGTGAGCACCACCTGTTTGAGGGAGGGCAGAAAAAGCCCTTTTAGCCCTGTGTCTGGAGTTAGTTCAGGCTGTGCAGGATTGCAGGCCACCCTTGGGAGAACTTGGTTCTTGTTCCAGTCTTGCTTAAGATGGTCACTTGGGGGCCCTCCCACTGTTGACTGTGGTTTTGTCTGTGACATCAATAGTAGCCTGGTTCGGGGAACATATGCATGCCCCCCGCCCTTTCCCCTGGGCTATTGGCTGAATGTCTCACTCGAGCCTTTTCAGAAGGAACAGGCAGCCTCTGCTTCTGTAGGACCCGGGATCAGAGCTTCTCAGGAGCCTGATGGGCCTGTTCCAGACTACAGACAGCAGTACTGCAAGATGGGCATAATCAAGACACAAGGGGGACACTGACCTGAAGTGATGTCTTGCCAACAGGAAGGTTCTGGGTGCCTCGCACGAGTGGGGGAGGGGTAGTCACAGTGCTCCCAGTGGAGCCCGTGGGCTGCAAGAGAAAGAAATAGAGGAGATTGGAGGTAGAAAACAGGGATAACGTCAGCCCCTTTCTCTCACTACAGAGTCACCAACATGCTGTTAAGACTGAGAGGAGAGGATTGATTTCCTTCCTCCTCCAAGAACACCAGGCTTTCAACCTGAAAGTGGTCCTGTCTGTACCAAGAGTTGGCCCATTCTATATGAGCCAAGGAGAGATTCTGCTGTAACCTCTCAGCATACTTCCCAGTTGTTTCCTGACTACTCCCACATGGGGTCCAGGCACCGGCTCTGGGCTACACGGGATGGGCGTAGCAGCTGAGATAAAGGGCCCTGGGCCTAGACAGTTTAATCCCAACCTTAGTGAGAAAATGCTGGGCATGAACATTTTTTACTTGATTTTACTTGATTAACTCTATTTATTGGAGTGAAGGGGTGGGTGCTGGGGATGGAACCCAGGGCTTCACATATGCTAGGCAGACACCCAATCACTAAACCACACCAGCAGACCATCTGAATGTTGTCTAAAACTACATATTCCCCTAGAGAAGGGAGAGCAACAGACTTGATTTGCTTGACCGAGTCTTTAGTAATAGATGCTCTACTTGTTAAACTTCACAAAAGTGGGCTGGGGATGTGGCTCAAGCGGTAGCGCATTCGCCTGGCATGCGTGCGGCCCGGGTTCAATCCTCAGCACCACATACCAACAAAGATGTTGTGTCCACCGAGAACTAAAAAATAAATATTAAAAATTCTCTCTCTCTCTTTAAAAAAAAAAAAAAAAACTTCACAAAAGTGACAGAAGTTTTTGGAAATGAGCTCAGGATAGACCTCTAGACTCAGAACTGTGCTTCTAGCAGCACCAGAGACAACCATTTCCTAGACATGTTCAGTCTAAGAGAAGTGAGTTTTACATAATCAGATGAAATTATTTTGATATCTTCTTACTTGGACATCTTTCTAGCTAAATTCAAAATGCACACTTGAGTTTGCAAATGTCTGTTTGGACCTGCCCTACATTTCTGGGAGGAAACCCTAACCCTCTGACCAGCCTTTTCAGTCTCCAGCACTCTGAGGAGGGGGTTGTCAAGGTAAGATAGTGGCTGATGGCCCCTGGTTCTGAAAACAGCTCCCAGAGTCCCAGAAGCACATACCTTCTGGGTGGTAGCTTCTTTTTGTATTTGACTCTGCYGCAACTTTTTCAACAATACAAGCTTTGCTTCTTCTAATCTTAGCTCTCCTTTTAGCTGCTTGATCATTCTTTCTTGTTCTTCAGGACTACTTTTCTGAAAGGGTATGAGAATGAGGGTTGAGAGAGGGTCCTCAGCAGGGATGAGTGTAGCTGGGGCTGCAGTGGTAGTGTGAACAGAGGAGGCCCTCCCACCACCAAACTCACCAGGAGAGCCTCAGTGCTGGTCTCCTTCAAGGCCATCTTGGTCAGTCCATTCACCCTAGGGCTTGAAGGTTGCTCATTGTCAGAGAGCACAATCACATCGGGGGAGGGTGGTCTCCTTTCAGACTTCATGTCACTGGGAGCAGAGACAAAGGGTGATTAACAGAGCAGCAAACAAGACACACACAACAAGAAAGTAAGAAAGTGAAAAGCATGTCAATTTGGCCAGACCTCCCTGCTCCTGTCTCTGCCACATGGTCAGCTCTTTCCTTCAGTGTACCCTAAGGCCCATCTGGTGCCAAGGCACCCAGGCCATCCTCTCTCCATGTATCACAGGGCACTCAAATCTGCCAATTCATAGCTAGGCCCCTTAACCCCTGCCTCCAAGTCCCCTGGGCTGAGGGTGTATGTGCTCCCAAGTCTAACATGGACATTTTGGAAAATGCTGTGGCTCTTTCTTTTACCAGGTGGCCTGGTTTTGGATAAAACATTTGGCTTCAGGTCCGAGGGCCCCAGCTCAGTCTCAGTTGATTAGGCTCCTGAGTACTAGGCAGGATGGGATGCCTATGCCTCGAAAACCAGAGGCTGCCATCTGTCTAATTGAAAACTAACGGATGGGGAGGAAGCTCAGCTCTTCATGAACCATTCTTTCTTCTCTGCTCAACTTTTCTTTCAGACATACTAATGACCTCATACCTAACAGTCCATCTGCCTCTAGAAAACAGAAGCTCTTTCCACTTCACAAGGCATCCTGAGGCTGCCTGGCAGACAGTCCTTTCTAGGGCATATATGGCAAGTGGCAGCAATGGCCACAGGTTATGAGACCAACAAGAATATCTCCCAGGGCTGGGGATGTGGCTCAAGCGGTAGCGCGCTCGCCTGGCGTGCGTGCGGCCCGGGTTCGATCCTCAGCACCACATACCAACAAAGATGTTGTGTCCGCCGAGAACTAAAAAATAAATATTGAAAATTCTCTCGCTCTCTCTCCTTCTCTCTCTCCTCTCTCACTCTCTCTTAAAAAAAAGGGGGGGGGAAGCAGGAACCCTTGAAAAATGAATATCTGTTGAAATGGCCCTCATTCTCTCTTGTGTTCCTTACTTTAAAAAAAAAAAAAAAAAAAAAAGGAATATCTCCCAAAGATCCAGATACTCTCCACCCCACCTGATGTATTCACAAACTAGTTTATTTATGACCTCCCCCATGCTCTAATACTGTATAGACTTTCCTACAGATGACAGGGCCACCCTGTGATATCCTGTCACCCTCTGAACTCAACCCTGACCACCCCACAAGTCCCACTTCAAACTGCATTATAAAATGCTCTGATTACTTTTGTCCACAACCCCTTTGCTTTCTAATAAAAGTGCTTTCCTCCTTGCAATGGTCCATTTTGGGAGCTTACTTTTACTTGTGAACTTGACCTTGGTTCTGTTCCCCCTCTTCTCATTGATGACTCATGGCATCTCCCTACAAGCTGGGCAGTGTCAGGGGGTGACAGGGAAGCCCTCATAGCTTTCTTATTTTGTCAGGATACAGTCACAAATATCCAAGTATATGACTGTGAACAAATGCTGTTACATATCAGAATCCAACAACAGTAAGTTTCCATTCTATACTAACTTTGAGCCAGGCTCAGAACTAAGAACCCCACTGCACAATATACCGTTTAACCCATGTGGGACCATATCAGTGTCTGGGATTTTTCCCTTTTCTGTGAAGGATTATTTAGGATGTTCACTCACATTTGATGCTATTAAAGCCATAGGGCTGAGTATGTGCTTTGGTGTCACTGATATGGCACATGGGGGAGAGGGGAGCCACTCCCAGAAACAACACTTTGCTCCCAAATCAAGCAGCTACATTTGCTAATGACTGACACACTGCCAATTTTCCCCTGAAGATGCTTAGTATTTGGGTTGAAGGAATCAAATTCTTGGTTTTGTGTCAAGAAAAGCTGCTGAAAACACAAACATGTACACTAGGTGGCACTGTGACCCAGGGAATAAACTTGGATAAAGTTAACTGGAAGTCACAGCTCAAAGTTGTCCCTGCTTTTTCCACTAGACCTCAGCAGAGTAAGGAGACAGTCACTAGGATGCAGAGCTTCACACTACTTTAAGAGCACAAAGAACACTTCCCACCATTCCTGAGGAAGCTGCATCTTCAGGAAGGGCATGCACAGAGTACCAGAGGATCAGGCTTTACCACCAATTCCCTAGATTCACCAAATGTCTACTTTGGAGCTGCCTTCATTGCTCTTTTCGGGCTCTCCTTGTTTCACAAGTCGGAGCTCTGTGACAGCTGCACCTGAACACTAGTCCTGTCCCTGATCTGACAACCAGCATGGTTGCTGACTGGACTGCCACAGAAATAAGAGGAGTTGGCCAATTCAGTATACAGTCTCTGAGCATGGGGTTCTCATCTAGACATTCAGATGTCTAGAAATGGGTAGTTTATAAATGACCCAGGATATTTATTAAAGTCTCACCCAAACCACCTCCAGATCTGTGCTATCTCTTCTCACTGACACCACCAATGATCAACTTTCAAGGTGACCTGATGGCTCCAATTCCATGCTCTCTGGATGTGCACACAGGTGAATGCGTCCAAGGTGAATGGATCTGTGGCCCCAGCAGAGAGCTACAACTTCTGGTCTCTGTTCAGATGGGCTCCCAGGTGAACTGAGGAGCAGTCTAGGTGGCAGACACACTTCCTGGAAACACACAGGCTGAAAACAGCTGATCTCTAGGGGTTTATCACTTTTCATTATCTTACAGAGAGAGGGGTATGCACTTCTTTCAAAGATGAGATATCTACTAAAACTTGAATTTGCATGAGGAAAGAGGGCAGGGCTAGAGACAGAGGCCATTAAGCAGCTGAAGCTTCCTGAGAGGGCCACCCTGACCTCAGTGCTCCCAGGCCCCATCTTGGCTTGAGACTAATCAATAACTCATCCAAGAGATGATGTCATCAGCCATCAATGATCACTCTGCATCCTAGCAGCCAGCAGGGAGTGAACTTCCTGTATGCTAATCAGGCCACCAAAAAATCATGTGACAAAGGCATTTCCCTCCTTGGTCACATGACCCTTTAACAGTGCCTTCCAACGTGAAAACCATGGCAACGGGCGGTTCCAACCGGTTTGTGACACACAGCCTTCATTTTGAGACGGGAGGTAAGGGTTCAGGTGCTGTCAGAAAATGGAGGCGCCAGGCTCACCCCAGGGCCGCAGGCATTTCCTGTCACACCATCCCCCAGGGAACTCTGAATGTGTCCTGAGCACCAGGTTATCATCTGCAAGCAGAGTGGGCCACTTGCCCCTCTACTTTCCAAGATGAAAAACTTTCCTAAGCTCAAAATTTTAAAGAAAGGGCTTCAAGATGCTGAGTACCTTTCTGGAGAGTTCTTAATTAAAAAAAAAAAAAAGTGGCTCAAAATAATTGCAGGCATTATTTCGGAGTTTTTTGTTTTTTTGTTTTTAATTTTTTATTTATTTATTTTTGTTGTTTTTAATTATAAAAACCACTTAAGGTCAGGAGAATAAAAGCTGAGGAAATTTAGCCCACTATACTGCTTTTATCCATGGCAGTTCTCTCAGGCATCAACTTTATTTGGAAGATATTTCAGGGCAAATCCAATAAGCCCATCCTGCCTGCCCATCTTGAGAATGTTTATGTAAAATACAGTGATCAAAAGAGATTTTACATGACCTACAAAAATCTTTGGAAACAGGCCAGGCTGTTATAGGTATAAATGTCTTACCACAAGCCAGCAATTTTGTTACCTACCAGGAACTTTAGCAGAGTTTCCTGGAGGGGAGGCTGGGATTATAAACTTCACATTCCAATTACAATCCTACCCCACCTGCACAAGGCTATCTATTGCTCTTGTCTGATCACCAACCAGAAGCCAGCATGTGGTTAATATTTAGCATCTCCTTGGCCCATGCCAGGGAAGGAGTTTTGTGCAGGGAACAGAGAGAGCCGCCACTGGGGGAGCTTGGACTTCATGGGTCTCCTCTGAACAGAACTAACTACAAGATATCCAGGGAAAGAAAGCATACTTCATCCCTCACATATTCATTTATTCACTCATTCACCATTCATTCACATTCACTCACTTGCTTGGATTTGCTTTTGAAAGTCTGGCTAAGATTCAGGAGTTGCCCTAGGTGGTGGGAAGAAAACTCTAGTAGGGCTGTCAAGCCAAGGTAGCGGTCATGGTTTGGGCAAGTCAGAAATAATGGTCAAAGACATAAACACAGTAAGATCTACTCTAGACACATCTTACTCCAACAACAATAAGTCAAAGAAGAAGAAAACTTTGAAACTACAAACAGCCTTGGCTTATGAAGCAGGTAAGTATGGCTTCTCCAGAGCTTATGGAAACATAGAACCTTGTGATCTGGGGCCTGGTTGATCAAAGTCCGCATTTTTTTTTTTTTTTTTTGCAGGGGGGTGTGACAGAATCTCACTGTGTTGCCCAGGATGACCTCAAGTGATCCTCCTGTCTCCAGAGTAGTGAGAACTACAGGCACACATCACCACGGCTGGCTCAGGTTGTACACTTCTGTAAATGCTTGCCTTGGATTCCTCTAGTCGTTCTCCCACACAGGCAGAACTGCTCACACCATCTATCAAGGCCACACTGATTCATCCTAGCACCCATGTACCCCAAGTTCCTATCCACCAAATCCAGAACCTATGTCCCACACTGTTCAACTCAGTGACACCCTTCTCAAAATAAAAAATAAGGGCTGGGAACATAGCTCAGCAATATAGCTCCCCTGGATTAAATCACCAGTACCCCCGTAAAAGAGGCAATAGTAATAGGGCTGTTCACTCTGAGGGCAAATGCTTACCCAGGAACCCTTTTACCAGTGCAGAGGAAATCTCCTGTGGCCATGCCCATTCCCACCTAGAAGGAGCTATCTGCGTGTAGTCATTCCAGGGTTCTCACAAGGCAGGACTGGAGCATCCTAACATCAGGTCCTGTACTGCCTCTATAGAGCCAGCAGGATCATGTCTCAGGGGCGCCAGATAGGCCTGTAGGCAGCCCTGAAAACTCAGTGGCAATACCAGACTCCTGAAAAGCCTCAAGAGATTTCAAGGAGTAGAGTCCAACCACAGTGCCCCT